TCAGCTGACTCCAGTTTAGGCCATAACCTTGGGCGGCTGCTTGGTGAGCGCAAAGCCTCCCCCCGTGAAACGGGGGACGTTCATTCTCTGTGCTGGATACTCCTGCTCCATGTTAGCCAGCACATGCTCCTTTTCCCTTTAGAGGAAACAGAGAGAAAGAAAAGAAATGGTTTTCACGTTATCTACCCAAGTGTTTTCAAACAAAGCAAGATTCTGTCCTCCCAAGTTTCTACGATGATGCAACCACGCCACCAAGAAATCGTTAAAAAATGTTGATTAAAGCCCATTAGGCTAAACAGCCAAGACTAGGTGTCTATTTGGGTCTAATTAAGCAACTACCGATGGTTTTCAGAATTATTAAAAATTAGAATTAAGTTAGTTCTAATGTTAGCTGCCCAAAGTCGGTCAGAGCCTCTCATTAGAACTTTGGGTTTCTAATCATCACTCTGTTCTACCAACTCCTCATTTGTTTTCAAACAAACAGCTAGATTCATCAAAGGCACGATGGAGAGAGATTCTTTGTTTGTTGAATTTTAATGAATCGTGTTATCAGTCTTCAAATGGTAACAAAGTTCCGGTTATAATTATCCAGCCTGTCATATTTGAACAAAACCAACACGGTATCTGTGAGGCATCTATAGCCTCAGGAACTTGCTCTATCTGATGATCCAGAGATTAAATGTAGAGGCCTTAGGAGAACAGAGCAATGTTTAGGCCTGGAGGGTATCCAGAGTAGAATAAACATAAAGAAGTAGCATTTTCAATTTACTGAGATACACCTCCAGGGTTCAGAGACAGGTATCAGAAACCATAGAATTATAAAACCAAGAGTCATCTACCCCCTGCCACAAAGCAGTATTTGTTAGGTCTCAGCCATGCAAGACAGATGGCTCTTCAGCCTCCGGTGAAAAATCTCCAATAAAGACATTTCCAAAATCTCCGGAGGTACCTGGTCCATTGTCGTACTGTTCCTACAGTTCAAAATGTTTCCTGAAAGTCCATCTAAATCTGTTCTGCTGTAGTATGAACCCTTTTTTGCAGCCTGTCAAGTATCTGAAGACCGTTATCATACCCCTATTAATCTCCTCTTTTCCCAATGTGAAGACCGTTATCATACCCCTATTAATCTCCTTTTTTCCCAATGAAACATACCCAGTTCCTTCAGCCTTTGCTTGTGTGACCTGCATTCCATCCCTTTGAGCATCTTTGGCAGTCGCCTCCGGATCCTTTCCAGTTTCTCTACATCCTTTCTGTATATTGGTGACCAAAACTGGACACAGCGTTACATCCAGCTGAGGCCTAAGCAGTGCCAAGTAGAGCAGTACTATTGCCTCCTCTGACATGCATACTGTGCCTGTTAATGCAGCCTAAAATGGTACTTTTTTCTGCAACAGCAGTACATTGCTAACTCATATGCCACTATTGCAATGATCAAGCCAAAAAATGTTTAGTTTCAGGTTTCACTGAATATGAAATGTCAAGTTGGGCCAAATGGAGGAGCAGCAGAAGTAGAGTTTGTGAGCGAATGTCTGTCCGTCTGCTTGGTCAAGAACTCCTCCTAAATGGGAAGAACTGGGACCACCAAACTGGGCATACACCTTCCTCTTATAACTTAAAGCAAGGCCAGGGTTTGGTGGTGCCAAGACAATGGGATGAGCCTGGTATTACTTTCTCGTAACACAGAAAGGGAGAGTTCTCCAAGCAGTGGCAGTTATGTTGTAGAATGACCACAGGGAGGCAGCAAGGGGCCAGAGATGGGAACTGGGACAGCTATAACCCCATTCAGCCAGCAGGGGGCTGGGGTGGAGAAAGGGTCTGCTCTTTCCTCTATATTTCAGAGAGTTTGTTTGTTCTGTTTGTCTGTCTGTCTGTCCCCCAGCTGAGGGACTTGCACCGCTCCCCCAGCTGTGGGCACTGCAGCTGCAGCAGCCATGAACAGGCATTTCTTACATGGCCCTAAGAGGTAACCGAGGGCTGGGGCTATGCTCTTACCCCAGGACAGCCTTCATCATGAACCTGAACCCCCCTTCCCCGGCTGCACCCTACAGCAAGGATTTAAATGAAGAAAAATGATTTGAGTTAAGGACCCAGGCAATGCCGGGTAAACCTTCCAATTATAAATAAATCTTTGGAGCCAGGACCAATAACAAATAGTTTCAGCCCACTGAAACTGCCTTTTTTGGCAAATACACTACAGTATTCACCAAAAGAATTTCTCTCAGCTCTAGCGATCTCCCCAAGGAAGAGTGGGTATGTCTACACTACCCCGCTAGTTCGAACTAGCGGGGTAATGTATGCATACCGCACTTGCTAATGAAGCCCGGGATTTGAATTTCCCGGGCTTCATTAGCATAAGCGGGGAGCCGCCATTTTTAAATCCCCTCTGCTTCGAACCCCGTGCAGCGCGGCTACACGGGGCTCGAACTAGGTAGTTCGGACTAGGTTCCTATTCCGAACTACCGTTACTCCTCGTGAAACGAGGTGTACCGGTAGTTCGGAATAGGCACCCTAGTCCGAAC